ATATAACGCTTAACAGTGTTGTTATATGACACCATGCAGTGTTGAAAGAAGTATCCTGAAAAGCCCCGCCCTCTTCCACTTCATGTCAAGCAGACCAGTATTTACCCAGCATTGCTTGCTGAGAAATCTTGCAGAAATGATGTTTTTGCATGTTTATGACCATTAAAGAAGTTCATGAGAGTAAAAATGAGTTGTTCTGGTTAGTTTTCTTGTTCAGTTTGATCAAGTTGTTCAACTTTAAGTTTATGTTATTGGCCAAAAATCGACACCATGAGTGAGAGGTATGTCCTGGTGTTTGAAGGTCGACTCCATTATTGATTTCTACTAACTACTGAGTATGATATTAACACAGTGTTTAATTTACACTCAGAATTTGATGGTGTATTGACACCTTGTGGTGTCTGTTAACATTTATAACACCACAGTTTCCTTTGCTAAAATAATACACTGGTGGAACTTTTAACACTTTATTTTAACACTGTTGAAATGCTAATATGACACCCAGTATTGTTGAATATTTAACATTGGCTGGTGTTACTTTTAACACTATCTTTTAACACTAAAACTATTTTTATGTTAATGTGACTCCAAGTGTTGTTGAACATTAAACACTGGTTGGTGTTAAATTAACAAAAAAATGGGTGTTAAAATTGAACACTTTCACAAAAGTTATTTTAACACCAGTGAGTGTGGACACATATAGACACTTTGTTGGTGTTGAAATTAACACTTTGGGTGTTAAATTAACACTGGCATTTTTGCTGCGTGCTGACGTGCTTCTACATTAAATCAGAGGCTCAACTTACCTAACACATAAATGAAATGGTGCTCAGCAAACTTACAACTCACTAAATTAAAAGCTACTTTTGTTCATTTATTTTTTATTGCCAGGGTAAACAAGTTTTTAAGATTGTTTTGTTCTGCTTAGTACAACACAATTTGTTCCGCGCCGTTCAAGACACAAAGAATGCACTTATCTTGTTTTTTTTTTCTTCTTCGTTGTCAACAGAAAAGGATTCCAATAAAAACTGACCACAGTCAGGTCAGTGAATCATCCTGACAGGGATGTTTCTCCTGGATGTACTACAGTTGAGTTTTCTCAGATGTTGTTTTAAATTAGTGAAATTAAATTAAACCTGAATGTGGTGCAGATCCATGAGGACAGTTTTTTCTTTCTTTTTTCCTCTGGCTGTTTTAATGTTTTTCTCATTTGAACAAACTGAACATTTTGCAATCAGTAGCCCTAATATGTTGGGTTTGGGAATTCTACAGAAAGGGGAGGACTTCATAGGATATAAAAAATGTTTTGTAATGTGGGTTAATTTGTGCAAATGATATTAATAGCAATACATGTAAAATAGATGGACAAATACTACATAAGACTTAATTAGTTAAAAGATTCCAAAAGTAATATTGACTGTAAAATTTTTTGTTTTGCTCCAAAATGGCCCAAACTCTAGACAAATCTTCAAAAKAAAATTTTGTGTAATCATGCGTTACGTGTTGCGGATGACTCTCAGCTACGATCACGTTAAATTTTAGCTTCATGCCTGCTAAATTCTCAAGGTTAAAGCTATTTTTTTTCATCAGCTAACATAGGCTAGCTGTGACAATCACCTTGAGTTGGATTAACTCCAAAAGTTTATTTCGAAAGCTGATTATTGTTTCAGTTCAAATTACGTCAACGTGTTCTTTTAATTTAAAAAAAACAAAACTTCCAGCAAAAAAGGGTTTCAAAATAAACACGTTTATTTTCACTGAACTCCTCGYGTTGGTAAAATGACATTCTGTTTTCTTTTTTTGTTTTCAAATATACACAACATATAAAAATAAACAGGCAAACGAGGAAACAAGCCACAGGTGTCGCTCTTATTATATACATCAGTTGATATCGTTAATCACATTATATAAACAGAAAAGAAACAGAAACTGAGAACGGACGTCGCGCTCGAGTCGAAACACTTAAAGTTTTTATTTTAAAACTTTAAGGAGAACCACAGACTTCTCATCACGAAGAAAAAAAAACCTGCTAAAAGAAAAACTGAATTTACAGTTTTACAGGAGACCATTTTCCACACTCGGCGTTACAAATCACCTATTTTTAGACTTAAATAACTTATTTCAGACAACCAAATTATGAGTCAGTTTGTTAATTTTAAAGTAAGCAGCTGATTATTATTATAATTTTTTTTATTTCTATCCGAGAGAAAATATAATTGACTTTCGTTTCAGTTTGGAATAAAATTCTGGAAAATCAATTAAATTTCTTTCACACCACCCACCACACTGGTGTGTGTGTGTTTAAATCCTTTTATTACAAAAATAAGAGTTTTAGTAGAAAAGCTGTGGATTTCTTCTTCTGTTTGGTTCTTATGTGTGTGAGCAGGGAAACAAATAAATACCCGAGGGAACATTTCTGAAACTCGGGAACACCAGAAGATAAACAACATGGAAGACGTGGCTCAGTGCGTCTGACAGGAGCTGTGTTGACTTCATCTTAAAAAAGCCCTTTAAAGGTGCACGTCACTTTAAATCTGTGACTGATTCTGTCCCAAATACACTGAACTAAACGTGGAATAATGAACGAGAGGGAAACATTGTAGGAAAGCTGCTGCTCAGTCACTGTAAATACTGTCTTTTTTATTAGCTGAGGCAGAGGGCATCTGTGGGATTCACAGTGATAAGCAGGTCAGTTATCAGTGTGTGTGTGTGTGTGTGTGTGTGTGTGTGTGTGTGTGTGTGTGTGTGTGTGTGTGTGTGTG